TGAACTACAATGGTCAAGTGAAAACAATTCAAGGAAGCCGTTTTGTTCAAGAGTCAATTGTACTCACCGCTCACTCATCTCCGACACCATTTCTTTTTAAGCAACCCTATATATACACGACCTTCAATTGTATTCAAAATTATTTTTCTGAAACAAACAAAAAAGAACTGTGTAAAGATTAGCATTTTTACATTTTGCCCATTTCTTTAGTGTTTAATGTAGGACAGCTAACTTCTCATATCTGTTTCTGCTTTCAGTCTGTTGCAATATCACATGTCAATTTCCCAGAACCTTCTGGAAAATTCCACGGAACACTCCTGAGACCACAGAATGAAAAAAAAAAAAAAAAGCAAACAATATCTTCCTATTATGAAAATAGTACTGCCCTTACAGAGGCCCCCCCCCCCGGGATCCCCTGGACCATATTTTGGGAACCCACTGGGTTCCAGTACGTTACTCGCCGAATGACCTACACTTGTAGATTGTCTGGCCTTGTCTCATTTTTCTCGTAGCCGGTAGTTACGACGATAGCACAAGGCAGGCAGTTCTACCCTCCGTGATGAGCAGGGCTTTATCTAACTATTGGGTTGTCAGAAAAATCATGACGTATTTTTTTCTGTTTTTCATTGCAAAAAATGCGTTATGACTTTTCCGACACCCCAAGAGTCGGCGGTTATACGCCCTGCACGTAACATGGAGAGGTACTCAATTACTATTTGGAAAATGCACGACAAATCACCAAGACGGGATAACCCGGCAACCCAGGAGAGCTCATGAAATCCGATGCGGCCTAGGGGGGCAGGTCCTTGGGACAATTTAGAAAACTCAAAACAAAGCAAAACAAAAAAAACACCACAGGCCAGGACCATTCGCCTGAGTCACAAAGTTGGAGTGACCAAAAAAAAAAAAAAAAAAGCTCCGTGATCAAGATAAATGACATTTTAATGCAATATTTAAAAGATTCGGATTGGCAAACTGTGACCTGCCGGCGGGCCGCCCTTTCTTTTGTAAATCAAGTTTTGCTAGTAATGATTTTCGGAAACTTTTCAAACCTTCGCACGAGTCACTCAGCATAAAGGCCTCGCTCAGGCGCTCGGTCGGCGCCTACCGGAGACTAGGCCCGACGAGCCGACAGAAAAAGCTCTGAGGTAACTGAACTCCCTGTGCCCCTCAGCCAACTTCCAGCTCGCTGCCTCCCGCCCACTCCACCCAGTCGTCTCTGATTGGGTGGGCTGCCGTAGGTTCGCGCTGCCATTGGCCGGGAGTCCATAGGGGTGGGCTCAGGGAGACTTACCTCAGCGAGCCCCCTCAGGAGAATTATTGTGCGCGGCGGCGGCGGTTTGAAGCGGTTGTGAGCCGAGAAAAGGCCGGTTTCCTGCGGCGCCGCTTGTAGGTACGTTGGCGACGGGCGCGAACGCCGGGCGAGCGGCGACGAACCGGATCCGCGGTTTCGCGGGGGCCGCGCGCTTCTCTGAGAACGCCTCGGAGCGCTGCGCGAGCAGGGGGCGGTTGCGGCAGGGCTGACTGAAAGGCGTCCGCGGAGGCGGTGGAGCACGGAGCTGGCAGGGAAGACGCCCGCGAAGGGCGAAAGGACGCGCCTGACACCCGTTTACCGAGCGGGCCGCGGGGTTAAGTGGGAGTGGTGGATGGCTCCGCGTGGAGCGGTCCCGCGTGGGAGCCTGGGCCGCGGAGGGACACCTACCCGGGGCTTTCTCCCTGCCAAGTAAGTAAACCTTTGGGCTCGACCGGACTATTTTTACGCGTTTACGATGAAATGTAGTCCCCGGCCACAACTTTTGTATTCTGTTGCCAGGTTTCCTTGAGTGGTTTTCATCATAGTTATCTGAAGAATCTGGTGCCAGAACAATTAGCTAGCTGGATTTTAGCAGGTGCCCGGGAGGCGTCCTCCGTATATGCTGTTAGGAAAGTAGGCACTAGAACACCAGGGGTAATACAAAGTTCTGAGTAATGTGCCAAAATGTCTTTTTTAATGAAGGAACGCGAAGCACAACCTTGTAATGTGCACCTGTTGAGCTGCTCAGTATTAACGATGCTGTAATTGAACAATTAAAGCCGAGTACAAACAGATGGTTCTTTGAGACAGAAGCTCATTTTTATAAGTTAGAAAGAAAATCAGAGAGACCGTTTCCTTCGTATCGCCTTATCCCTACCGACTTTCTCCATTGTTGGCAAGTTCAAGAATGTGACCGGTACAGAGGAAGCAATTCTTTGGCTTTGCCTCACAAAAACGTTGCTATACTTGGAAAACTGACTTTTATCCTTCCCGTTACTATGTTGAAGATGAAGTTGCTTGCTTTTATGACAAGCCAGCTTTCACTGTTCTGAAGACTTCTGTATGGCCAAAATCTAGAAAAAGATCATTGTACTGAATAATTCATTTGAAGAATTACATAATATCTACTTAAACAGACTGCTTTTCTAGATTGGGATTTAATGCTCTTTTCATTATGATTTTGTCATATATTCACTTGTAGCCAGTAAATGACGTGCGACATAACTATTTACAAAACAAATGGGGACGAACATTCAAGATAAAGATATCACAGAAAGTTATTGAAAATGCAAACATGAAGCACCTGAATGAAGGACTAATCATACTGAATCCAGCTTTTGTGATGCATGCCATCAAAGTTTATCCTTCAGTTCCGGTTTTGTTTTTTTTTGTTTTTTTTACAAATGTTGAGTCTGACCCTAATCGAATTAATCTACTTAACTCTCAGTCTTATCTGCACATTTGTACAAACCACATCGTAAGATTGACTTCTGCCTCAACAGAAATGCATGAACAGTGTCTTTTTGGAAATGCTTTATGTCTTCTAAAAACTGGTGTATCCAACTACATTTTGAATTTCGGCTCTGCTTCCCTTAGCTTTCACCTCAGCCTTCAATTCCACTGTACTTCCTTGCTACTTAATATCTTTAATTAGGATATGAAAATATTGCATGATCCCTGCACCTTTGCCTGTGTATATCATGTAATTCTCTTATAGTGGGTGTGTCCAAATGTATTTCGTTTGATGTAACCAAATTTTAAGTAATATATTGGATAGTTGTTAAAAATAAACTTTGTAACTTTAAATGCACAGAAGTATTAGTTCCCATTAAATCGAGTGAGATTGTATTAAATATAAAATGCAAAGAGCCATATTCTTCTAATTCTGTCTCATATTCTAACATCGTTTAAATACTTACTCTGTTCTCTGAGGCTTTATTATACCTCAATCCATACCTTTAACATTCATTGCTATAGACTCATGTAACTTCTTATCCCTCTTCAGCTTTACCAGTCTAAGGACAGGAAGATTGTAGTCAGGCAGTATCTAGGCGAAATAACCACCATTCTTTGGGTAGGGGAAATAATCAGATATAATTCGAATTTTTGAAATCCCGATTAAAGTTCTAGGGATTTAAGGGATGCTTATATGCAGATCTTTCTAAATTTAATAATTAATTATATACAGGCACTGTATCTATCTACTAAATGTGGTACCATTAGTATAGCTCTGTGGCTCCACTGTGTATAGTGCTGCTGATACAAAATAACTTGTGGAATGGCTTGGCAAAAATTGCTGAGCCCTGTTCTGGTACTCCTCATTAAGGAAAGAAGAACCTTGTGTGGCTTTCCAGAAGTTCTTTTTTATATTGAGTATTCATTTAGGCAGCACTTAATAAAGCTTCTATATGAACGCCAACTCGCTTAGAATATAAAAAATAAATGAGACATCTCTGTCCTCAAAGCTCATGACTAAAAATATATATTTATAATGGGAAATTTAAGTAAGAAAGTAGTTCTCTTGGAGGAAGGCTATCTTGAAGAGGTGATGATTAAACATGAAGAAGTGGAGAAACAGGGAAAATGTTGATATATGGCAGTTCCGATGAATTTGAAAAAAAAGTGAAGGATAGGCTTAAAGGAAATTAGGAGATAAATTTGATAGGTTCAGGAAAAACAAAATAAAGGAAAGAGAATGCAATCATGATAATCAGTCTAGTTATATAGAGAATATTTGCTTGTAACACTTCATTGATTTAACTGTGATGGAAAGGTGTATGTGTATAAAAAAGGGCTAAATCCTCATTTCTAAGTATAGGAACTTGATAGATAATGGCTAAAATTTGTAACTCAAGAACTACAAGTGTGACCATATTTAAAAATACTGAGATTAAAAAAAAGTTTTAATGAGTTAAAAATTATTGCAACTAGCCATTAAGGAGTGCCGACAAGCAACTACTTATTTCATTATGAGCATTGTATACTTCATTTTATGCTATTATACGGATAAAAATTTTTCAAAGTAAAGGCAATAGTCTCCTAGCACTTAGAAGATGCTGATGCTACTGGTCCATAGACCACCCTTAGAATAGTAAGGATTAGAGCATGTTTATAAGATTGTGCCAGATGGCACTAATTGGTCAACTTTTTTCACTTTGTTAACCTCTGTACCCCTTAAGGTAAACCCTGTCTCTTAATACCTTATCTGATTTCTATTTGTGATGTGAGATTTCTTAAGAGTCTTAAGATCATGGGTTCAAATATTGGCTCTGAACTGTTTCCTTGAACAAGTTATATAGCCTACCGTAGGTTCAAGTTTAGGTTTTTACTTTTTAGAAAAAGTAATGGTAAAAAAAGATTTGGTTCAGTGGATTTAAAAATATATATATATATAACAAGGATTTAGTGTTTATAATGTGTTAAGATACTACCTTAGCAAGAAGCTTTACTAGAGTAGACATTTCATAACGAGGAAAACCAATTCACCACTAAAAATTGACGAGACCCGCTCGTCAACCGAAGCTACCCGAGTGGATTGGGTGGGAGATTAAGAAAAGAAAGACACAGAGACGAAAGCTGGGATCGGGAGGTCCACTGACTGCTGATGGCAGAGCAATGGCCTCATTTACTTTTTGCACAATGCTTATATAGCAGGGAGCAGCTGCAGGGAGGAGTAAGCAGCTGCAGGGGGTCTGTTTATGGGTTAGGCAGTAGCAGGTTACATCCTGTTATTCACTTCTCAGAGGCTCCTGTGGCTTCAGCTGTTCTTTCCTCTTTGCGGGTGGAAGTTCCCTGAACTGTTCCACGGGCTGTGAGGACCCTGTCAGCTCAGCCTGCTCCCACATCCCCTTTCTTATTCGTGTGAAACCGCACATGATTAGTCTAATCTGAGGGACCGGAGACGGGCTCGGATTGTTCTTCCGCAAACTAGAAAGCATAAGATTAGTAGCAAGAGAAGTATAAAACCTGGCAGATACCAAAATGTGTGTTGGAGAAAGTTAAATGGGTTAAAACCCTGGAGGTGTGACAGCACCTCTTGTGCCAGAACTTTTGGATCAGTAAGTTCCAGTTGGCTGTCCTGTATACTGATAATCTCTTGGTGAAATTGTTGAAGGTCGATGCTGAAATCTGAGCTACGCCAGAGGCCCTGGAGGTGATTGCGGATGTTATCCCAATCCCATTGTGTGTTATTGAAACGATGTCTGGTTACGCACACCTTTTGATACTTTGCATGACATTGGAGGGCACGTTGGCGGCTATGGCCTCAACTTCATTTCCTACCTTCACAACAGTGGTTTCTAAGGCATTAAGTCGCAATTCAATTTTTGCATCTATGTTTTCTTGGCTATGAAAGGCTAAAGAAGTATTTTTTGCAAGCTGCTCAACACAATCAGCCGTTTTTATAGTATCTGCCAGAGAGATAGCAGCAGTGACTGCAGTAGCAATGATGGAGATAACTGCTGCGAGGCCGGCTATGACGAGTCCGACTACTCATCATTTTCGGCTAAAGCCATTTTTTATTTCAATAGGGGTTTGGATCCCTGGATCATCATACCAGGGCCCCTCAATAGAGGTGGGAATCATAACATACGGGGGTTGGCGGAGGACTAGGATGGCACGTCCTCTGTCTTTTGGACTAATACAGTTGGTAAGATGGCAATTGTGACAAGAAACAAAGTTAAAGTCAACTATGTTGATTCATAAGTTTCCAACTAGTATGACTTCAGGGGCCTGTACACAAGCGGTGACCGCATATGATGTCCCTACTGGCAGATGTTCTGTTATGGAGGAAGTGTGATTTACATAATTTGAGGTAGCCCATAATCTCCAGATTTCGTTCTGTACCACGTGAGCATCCATGGTAAGGACAGGGGCTATGAATCCTCCTGAGGTCATAAGTTCTTTTTGTTTGTTGACTTGTGTACCAGTGGGACCAATCACTGATGTTGAAGGTGGTGTTCTGTACCTGATGGATGACTGCTATGGGATGAGCACAGTCGGTCTGCTGTACCACTTCATTTAATTCAACATTAGTGCCATTGGCACAGTAGGGTAGTGGTGGGTGCCACATGGGGAGTTCGAGCATGCCTCAGACTGGTCCCGTAATAGATACCTTAGATATGTACCGGTACATCATCTCTGGTCTAGGTAGGTAGGCAGTGTTAGCGCCCCCATTGCTGTTTTGTTGACCTGGCCCAGAAAGAGACACCCTGGTAAGGGGGTTTCGGAGGCACAGAGTGGGTGGACCTGGGACAAGCCCGTATAATTAAAGGCTGTCTGTTGGGGTTCTAAATGTTTGATTTTACCTCCCATGGGATTGGAGTCATTGACCCAGACCATTAACGGCTTATCTTCCCAAGTTACAGGAATAAGTGCTGGGGGATTGGGATAATATATCCAGTAGGTTTCTCCCTGTACTATACTTACCT